TCCAAAGTCCTCCAGCCACAACATTGTGAATTCCTCAGAGAGGTGCCAGACTCATCCTCTTGTTCCTCCCCCGCGGCTCTGGCGAGCTAAGAAAATGCTTATCTCCCTGAGCTTGGCCTTCATAATTCCATTCCATCACATAGGCACTGGAAATATCCAACAATTGTAACTGAATTGTAATTTCAGTGAGACAGGACAAATGGTTAAACGCATGATTGAAGATATATTAGTTATTATTAACTAGGTTTACATGTAATAATTGACTAAGTTAATTATAAGTAACTCATTATTTATTAATTATTAATTATTAACATTGACTTATTAACTAAGTTTCCATTTAATTAAATCATTCAATCCAAATGATGTGAATTAAAATTTAATTTGCTTCTGGCTCTACCCATTACATTTTGGAGCACAGTCACTCAAGGCTAAAGCAAAAGCACCCAAAGGGAGGGGCATCAAAAAAAGTCAAGATAAGGGCCACGACCATGTGATCCAAGCTGTACCCCCTTTTTTACATATGTCACATGTACAGCATGGGAACATGTGTGAGAAGAAAGTATTATGGTAGCAAAGTATGAGAGGTAAATTAGAGAAAAGTATGTATTTCATGTTTCTGTCATTAGTAAAAATATATTCCCTATAACTGGGAATCTGCCATACCTAGCCCAGGGATGGGGGAAGTGGGAATGTTTGATTTTGAGCTCTTAAAGCTACAATTTGGTTACTGACTCTGACAGTAAGTTATAGATCATTCCCATTCACATAGTATCTTGGATCAAGTTAGGTCTGACACTGAAAAAGACAATTCTGCATCTCTGTATACTATCATAGTTGCAGTGAATTGAAAAGGACGAAATATACTGTCATGTTGGAGTTGGGATTGCAGCATTTAATATCCTCCATGCTATGACTTGATGGCTGCCTTAGCAATAGAAGCAATGAAATCCCCAAACTAAGAAGGAGAAATGCATTCATCTACCTTGGATGTCATATTAAATTAGGCCCTTAAGTAACCCATAAGGTGGCTATTTCTTAGTTTTAAATTTTGAGTCATAACCCCATCTTGGTTGCCTTCTCTGCCTCTGTGCTCGTGGGTCATGCAGTGTAAACTGGGGTGTGTGTATATATAGGCACTGTTGACATTGCTATCCATCTATTGCAAAAACAAGGTAAATGATAATTTTGCTTGTCTAACAAATCCTCAACCATACTCGTGGACGTGTTGGCCCATGAAAAAGTCCAGAATCTATAAATAAGATGCCCCTTAGTCAAGCTCTGTGCAGGTTTGGGGCAACATTATGACAGTGGTTTGCCACTGCCACCTTAAAAGATGATTATTCAAATTCCCTGTCTAGCTAACAGCCCTGGAATTTTCTCCCATCTAAGTACTAATTAGAGTTGACCTTGTTTAGCTTCTAAGCTAAGGTCAACTAGATGTAGCCACTAATCAAAACCGTGTAAAAGAATGTGCTGCCTTTTAAATTTTCCACAACTCTCTGCCAGGAAAAGTGTTACATATAGAAGAGCAGGAGGCAAAAGTGAGAATTTCTAAATATTAAGCCAGATGTTTCTGCAGTCCAAAGTTGCTCAAGACCACAATGGTATGAGGCAGTGATGCATGTAATTGGTAACATTATCTAGCATTCAGGAACAAAGAAAAATAGTTGCCTCTTCCCACACACACTCCAGTCCTAAAAACACAATGCCTCTTAGTTTTCAGTGTCTTGTGCTATGGGCAAAGCTCACAATCAGTTACCTCTGCACAGAGATGACATAAATATAATGGCTTTTATATAAAATAGTCCAAAGTAATTTGGAAGGGCGCATTAGGTAAAAAGTCCATTGAGCCAAGTTGTGTAGAGCTACCTAGGGATTGGAAAGGATTATATCTTCAAAATATAAAGTCCGAATATAAAGTTTGGAAGTAAGTTCCATCTTGTGTACCATCTAAATGAGGTACATAAAATGCAGTCATAGCTATGTAGATCCTTGGGGGAGGGGGGGGAATGCAAAATAAAAGCACTACTCTTAATTAGGACTGAACCAAAATGACATAAACTCTTTACCAAGCAAGATGCTACAAGAATTGGTATGGGGAAGAAGCAAGAAGATCCAAAAATTAATTTACATTGTAAATGTCCCATGCATAGTGGGAGACCTTGCAACTTGTGGCTCTCCCCTGGGCCTCACTGCAAGCACAGCCAACCTAAATGCCAGCCACACATTTGAAACTAGCACTGCATTTTCCGTACATCTTTAATACTTTATAGAAATATGCTCAATATATTAAAAACAGAGCATCTGAGGAAGGCAAGAGTGAAACTGTTACTTACCTCTTTCTCTTTTTCTTTCTTTAAGAATTCCTATGATTGCTCACAGATCTCCTTCTCCAGAAGTTAACAGAGAAAAGACCAGAGTGATTCCAGTTAAGCTCAAGGAAGATCTGTTTTCAGAAAGTGTAATATTTAATTTCAGTCCAGATGAGAAACTGCTCACGGAAACATGGCACCATGTTGTAACAACTATATCTAACATGGTAAGTAAAGCATTTGGTTATTTAAGGACATGAGGCATAGATGTCTGGGGATGGAGAACAAGGAACAAAACATGTATGATGTCACAACACAAACCTCATAATTTACATATTTGCAGTGTGAGTATGAAAGGGTATCATGACGCCACAATCCCTATTTTGTCATTTTCATTTCATTATGGTTAGTTGTGGATGGTTCTGCCCACACTTTCTAGGTCACATTCACTTTTTGAGAGCAGGAATGTCCCCAAGACTGAACACATCCTTTGGTGCGGTGTGTGACATATGTAAATGCAACTTAAATCTGTTAATTCAGTAAGTAACTAAAACAGCAGTATTTTGCCCTAGCTGGAATTTCAGAACAATCGTCACAAAGGAGCCTTGCATAGAAGACAGGGCAGGACTCAAACTTTAATGTCAATATAACAAGACTGGTAGTGCCCAAAGCTTTGCTGGTCCCTGGCCAAGGAGCTCGAGATCGGGGGGGGGGGGGGGGAAAAAAA